CTTCTAAGGCAGATGCAGATTAAACCCTACAGTCCAGGACACAACATTCTCTGTCTCATTTGTCCTTACTGAGGACTACACTGGGACCTCAGCCTAGGCTGGCCCTTCAAAGGCCCACAGTCAGACTACATTTCCACTCAAACTTGTGTCTCTTTATGCTATGCCTAGGATATCTTCTAAAAAGTGTGTGTGTGTGTGTGTGTGTGTGTGTGTGTGTGTGTGTGTGTGTGTGTGTGTGTAGGTCCAACGACAACTTTTGGGAATCCTTTCCTTCCACCACTGGTGATCGGCATTGATCAGGTGTAAAGGCAAATGTTGGGCCATTTCACCAACTCTACTTCCATGTTCTTAACTGCCTTGCTAATGCCATTTTATCCTTCACAAGTCATTGAGGATTACCTTGCCTGGGAAGCCTTCCCTTAGTCCAAGGCAATTTAGTTCCTCATCTTCCAGACCCAGTTATTCCTTTCCTCCTGGTCACTGTTCAGCTCCCTCTGCACATCTCAATGTGTGTACATCCTTCTGGCTTTGCTTCCTCAAAGTCAGGCATGCTGGCTGACACATAAGTGCTCAGCCACCAAACTGTGAGCACACACCCTGGAGAGGCCGCTCCAAGAACAAATCTTCACACACTCCGTTTTCATGAAGTAAGATCTTTGATGAAGCCAAGGAAGTAGGCCACTTAGGATTCCCAGGTTCCCAACACCCTAGAGTTACAACTCAGACCATAACATGACTGCTAAGGACAGCACTGTCAGCAGTGTTAGGACTTCCTGTATGACTTAGAAAAAAAAAAGGGCTCACTCACAAAACACTTTCCACTCACCTTAACTCAAAGCCTCAAATGCTAATTCTGAGATGTCTGAAATTTCTGTTGTTTTTGTTTGCTTGAGATGGTTTTTCTGTGTAGCCTTGGCTATCCTGGAACTCGGAGATCTGCCTGCCTTTGCCTGAGTGCTGGGATTAAAGGTGTGTCTCACTACAACTGGCTTTGACTCTATTTCAAAATAGGAAAATGTAATCGCCAGAGGCAGTGAACCTATCATGTCCCAGAGAAAAAAATACGGCAGGAATGGTGGCTTCGGCCTTCTATAGTCTGAAACCATATGGGGATCATGGATCACCTGGCTCTCAACACTTGGCACTCAGCTCCCAAGGCAAGCTCTTAAACAGACTGTTAGTGTCTCTAGGACACTCAGCACATCCAGCCTAGGGAAAGCTAAGGAATTACATTGAAGCTGCCAAGAGGACCTAGGAAGTCCCAATAATGATTCATTCACTCAACCTACAGGGTTCCTACTACCTGCCAGCACAGTGTTACATGCTAGGAACAGAACACTGAGGAGGACAAATGAGGCCCCTGGTCCCAAGGGCTGACAATTACCCAAACTGTAAGTACATGCGACAGCTAGATAATGTTAAGGACTACAAAAGTAAAAGATCTGGGGACTAGAGGATGGGCTGACAATCTGGGCGCCATGCCAAGATCTGAGAAGGGTAAGCAAGTGCAGAGACCCTGAGAAAGAGCTGAATTGTGGACAATGATGGAGGGTCAGAAAGACCACCAGCACATGGCATGGAGCCCAGGAGCCTATGAAGAGGTGGAAGGTGTTCAGGCAGCCTCATAGCATCTGAGGTTTGAAGTAATTGGTGGTGGTGATGGGGTAAACAATTCATCTAGCCACACAAAGTTCTGTGGGCTATTGGTAACCCTATCCACCAAGATTAGAGAAACTTTCTCAAAAAAGATTGAGGAAAACACTATCATGGGTTAGGAAACAATCAGCACTCATTTGGCAACTGCATGGCACACATGCTGGTCAGCTCTCAGTGTTGCTGTCCCCACACCTCTCTGGCTTAAGGAGGCTCATAGGCACAGATGGAGATAAATCAGAGCTCTAGCGTGTCTGTCACACCCCTGGACTACTAGTTCTTCTGGGGGACCACAGTTTCTCATCTGTACTATGAAGGCTGGGCCAGATCCAGCACCAATGGGTAACTGTTGTTTTATAACTCAAGTACTTGCTGCTGAATTTAGGAGGGGGAGGGTTAAGGTGGGGCAGAATTTCCACATTTGCCATTGAGTCACCTGCTAATAAAGCATTACACTTGGCTCTCCTTCACAAGCTTAGATGAGCTGTATGTAGTCTCTGCAGCTAGGGGGAAAGCTACACAGAACTGAGGAAGTAGAGACAGGAGCGAGGTTTTCATTCTGTGATCACTTGACTGTGTTGGATAAGTGCCAGCCTTCAGTTCCAGAGTTAACCCCCAACAATTTAACTCCATCTAGCATATTCCTAGGGATGGGGAGCTCCATCTCCAACATCCAGGCTATGCAGTCATCAACAATTGTTGGGATTCTTCTATTAAAACCTGGACTGTGATGAGTATGACTCCACCCATGTCCCAGGCTTCAGGGCCACACAATGTACCAGCTTAGAACTGTACTGCATTACTGACTCTGGGTCCTGGACTAAACCCCAAGGATAGCCAGAAGCATTCAAGGGCTCTACCATGAAAATCTCCCCATTCAAGGGCAAAGGATATACATGGATTTAGCTAAAGCTCCCAAGCCACAGTCCAAGCCAGTCTTTCAGAGATTAAAGAATACCACCACAAGCCAAGAGTGGTGGTACACACACCTTTCATCCCAGCACTCAGGGGACAGGCAGGGGGACCTCCACATTTGGGCCAGCCTGGTCTATGGAGTGAGTTCCAGGACAGCCAGCAATGTGCAGAGAAACCCTGTCTTGAAAAGCCAAAGGGGAAAAAAAATAGGGAAAAATAGCAAAGACTCCTTCTCTTCCAACAAGGCACAACAAGCTTCCACCAAAACAAAAGTCACCAAGTTATCTATGTAGTTTCTCACCCATCATGGAGCTTCCGTTCACAGAATCCTTGCTCTCTTCCTTCCTTCCTTGAACACTGTCACTACTGGGTGTTCAGTGGGAACTGATCTTCAGAGGCAAACTAGGCCATTAGGGAGTGTCTCCAAGGACCAAGGAGGCACAAGAGGCCTCTTAGAGATGTCAAGATAACATAAAATTTGCTTGAGCACCCTCCCCTACTCCACCTAGTCTTTCACCAAAGTAGATCTCAGAGAGCTACACTGACTAGTTTGCATTTCATATTAGTCTTTGTTAGTCTATGAGGTAATTACACCCACTTTTTTTTTCCATTGTATTTTCAAGGTCCAACGACAACATGGACAAATTCTTCTGCTTTGACAGTAAAGACCTGCTCAAAATCATCTGATGGACAGTTTTTTAAAAAACTGTCAGAAAATGTATTGAACAGGTTTCCTACCCCTAGAAGACAGAGAGCCCAGGAAGGAAATCTCCAAAGGGGCCACAGTAGACAGCAAACCCATCCCATTACCTTGCAATGAAAACAATTTAAAAGCATGAATGAAGGCAAGTTACTTCCTTCCCCCATCAAAAAGCACAGTGAAGAAAATACTGTAGGTTGTTATGTGGGGCAGCTCAAACTGCTTGTCCCTATGACAGAAACAGTTCAGTACTTCTCCTGGAGCAGATAATCGCAGCCAACAGTAAACTAGGACTAATGCTTATGTCACTGGATAAACTGTGATGGAGTCCAGCATGGGTTACCTTGCAGCCACCAGCGTTCAAGAAATGACTTTGACAAATGGCAAGAAATATTCCTGACTAAAGAGTAAGACAAAACTGGATTTAGACTCTATCTATTGCATGCTCTTGACTTTATATAATATGTACTAATAGAAATAACCTGGGCAGTGGTGGCACACAAAGAGGCAGGTGGATCTCTGTGAGTTCAAGGCCAGCCTGGTCTACAGAGCAAGTCCCAGGACAGCTAGGGTCGTTACACAGAGAAACCCTGCCTGGGGGAGGGGGGAAGAGTAACCATCAAATAGCTGATTTATCTTATTTTCTTTCTGATTACCTCTACTTTTCAAGATTCCCATAATTCCAAGTTCCTATGAACTGGAACTCCCAGGCTGGTCTCCAGCTCAATAGATCCAACTGCCTTTACCTCCAGAGTTCCCCACCATTGCCCTGCTAAAGACACCTTGAGTTAGCATGCTCTTCCTCATTTTCTCCAACTACAGCTAAGCAGTGTGGGATACTTTGTTTTGTATGGGAAAAGCTGTGGTGTGGTTTTAATTCTGCCCCTGGTTCACTGACAGCCTCAGTTCTCCCTTGAAGGGGGACCCAGTGGAATTCCAGCCTTGTTCACAAAGTGAGTTCCAGGATAGCCGGAGCTACACACTGAGAAGCTGTCTCAAAAAAAAAAAAAAAAAAAAAAAAAAAAAAAATTTAAAAGCCTGACACTTCTAAGTATGTCAGACTCAGGGTTGCTTTTGAGTGGGCTTCCCAGCCTGGCTTGGCACACATAAGCTGGGGCAGAGGACAGTTGGGACACACCTGTTCCAGGCAGGCATGTTCTCCATCCAGTGGCTGTTTCAGGGGATTGCAAAACCCTTGCACCCTGCCCCATCCAGTTTCTCCCAGCCAAGTCCTGCTCCACCTTGTGAGAAAGAACAGTACTGGGGGGCTGAAGAGTGAAATATCACTAATAACTGGGGAGAGTGGGTGGTGTCGCCCTCATCAGCTGGGGGATGGGAAGTGATGTAACACATGTTGCAACATTGGTTGAGTACCAGGATGGAGAATGAACCTAGGCTTTACTAGAATACCAGGCTCCCTGGCTCAAACTCATCCCAGACAGAAATGGCAGGATGCAGAGTCGGATTCCGCCAAAGAGAAGCCAGTCGTGGTGGCACACACCTGCAATCCCAGCATTTTGGGATGCTGAGGCAGAAGGATTTCTTGTTGGAAGCCATCCTGGGCTACAAGGTGAGACCTTTTTAAAAACTGGAAGTAGTTGTCTGGGACGCCAACCTGAAGTGGCTAGTCATCCAGTACAGCGCGACATGTCTTAGGCAGACTCCTATCCTGAAAGTCGTCTTTGCTGTGGATACCCCCAGTATGAAAGACCCCGGGGTGACTGACACTCACCCCATCGCCCAGACCCCTCGCGTGACAGGGCAGATCCTCCATTCTTGTTCTCGCTGCGGGCAGCTTCGGCCCGACGCTCACCCCGCAGGACTCCGGAGTAGGCGGCGATGAGGGTCTTCATGCTGAAGCCGGCGCGGTGCACGTCACGGCCGTGCAGAAAGCCGCCTCACGCCGCGACCCTGGCCCATGCCCCGGCCGCCGGGGCCAGGGCTTCGCGCTGAGCTCAGGGAGCCGGGGAACAGCGCCCTGGCCGTGGCGGAAACCGCACGAGCCGGAGGCAGGCAGCCGCCGCCAACCCAGGTGAGCCGAAAAGCCAGGGAAGCGCGGCCACGGCGCCGAGCGCCGCCGCGCGCGCACTTTATAACCTCACAACGGGGGCGGGCCGTGACGTTAGGGCGGGGCGGAAGGCTCCGCCCTGGGGCGTACCATATCCTCGCGGGGGTGAGATTCCCGGCTAAGCTATGTGCCAAGCCCAGAAAGAACAGCGCCAAAGCCTGACCGGTGTGGAACAGAGTGAAGCAAGTGTGAGAAAGGAAGGTAGAGTCCTAGTGCACGAAAAAAACCCTGGTTGTTCCAGCGGCCTCCTTGTCTTCCTTCTGTCCATTCCTTGCAGACATTAGTACAGTCGATCAGCTGGAACGTGGGCCGGGAAATTAAGGCACGTGTGGGACGATATGGAGCGTGCGGATGCTTGTGTTCTTCCTTGGCTACGCTTTCCTTTGGCTGCAGATGGGCAGGCTTAGCCTGGGGTCATTAGTGTTGGGATTAGTTAGGTTACAGCTGGGCTTCACAATCACCCCAAATACCCCTGCATTTCCTTTTATCAGGAAGAACCCGGAACGATGAAGTCTACCACTTGAAATCATAGCAGTTAATGGTGTGTGTGTGTGTGTGTGTGTGTGTGTGTGTAATGGTGTGTGTGTGTGTGTGTAATGGTGTGTGTGTGTGTGTGTGTGTGTGTGTGTGTGTGTGTGTACCTGAAGACATGGAGTCTACTACTTGATATATGTGTTGAGGCAGGAGGATCAAGAGTTTGAAGCCAGCCTAGACCCTGCCTCAAAACACCAGGGACAGAGGCAATACTATGGAACATGCACTTTACTTCAAATCCAATACCAGCCTTCTTTTCCTCAATTTAGGGCAGGGGTTGTTCATTTGTTATTGTTGTTTTGTTTTGTTTTTGTTATTTTGGTTTGGGGTGTTTTTTTGTTTGTTTGTTTTGTTTTGTTTTTTGAGACAGGGTTTCTCTATGTAGCCCTGGCAGTCCTGGAGACCAGGCTAGCATTGAACTCAAAGATCCACCTGTCTCTGCCTCTGGAGTGCTGGGATTAAAGGCAAACATTACCATGCTCGGTTTTCAACTTCAATTTTCAAGTCTGCAAAATAGGAGCAAACGAGATGCTTTGAGAACTAATGAGGTGAGGTATGAAAGGCACTTAGCTCAATACTGGCACTTAAGGCTGGGAACTCTTTCCATTGCCCATGTCTGAGTAGAGTTTTGCAGGATGAGGGTGTGAAAGCAAGCAGAAGAACAGGCATAACATCTCAACAGTCAGCATGTTTGGAGTAAGCATTGTAGTCCAGGCAACTGTAGGAGATGAGGCTACTGTGACATGGTAGCATAGGCTACAGCTTGGTCTTAAAAGATCCCTGAGTGTCATCTCTTGAGACACTGGGATGGGAATGGGTTCTTGGGAGAACCTTAATAAAGGAAAAGATAGCAGTAAGGTGAATCTAGGAACCCTTGAGACAGTATAAGAAACAGACAGGAGGGAGCTGGGAGGGAGAGGATGAACCTCAAAGAAAGGCAGTGGTAAAAGAATACCCTACAGAAAAAAAAAGCATAGGAGGGCCAGGTGAAGTGGGGCTCAATCTTGGGTTTGCATACATAAGGCCTGGGGCACAGGGTGTTGGGGAAGAATGTTGACAGAGTTTTCCTGTCCAGACAATTGCTTCCAAATAACCATTTTGAGGCTTATATTAATTATAAATGCTTGGTCAATAGCTCAGGCTTATTACTAACTAGCTCCTGAGTTTTAAATGAACATATATTCCTCATTTACACTTGGCCACATGGCAGTACCTTTATTAGCATGGGACATTCATCTGCTCTCTGTGTTTGGCTGGAGAATCCTGACTCTGCTCTTGTTCCTCCCAGCAACCCCCCCCCTCTTACTTTGGGGGAGGGGGTTCAAGACAGAATTTCTCTGTGGCTTTCAAGCCTGTCCTGGAACTAACTCTGTAGACCAGGCTGGTCTCAGACTCACAGAGATCTGCCTATCTCTGCCTCCTGAGTACTGGGACTAAAAGTGTGTGCCACCAACGCCGGGCTCCTCCCAGAATTCTGTTTAGCTTTACCACCTAGCTTTATCCTATTCAGCTATTGGCCAGTCAGCTTGTTTATTAAACCAATCACAGTGACAAATCTTCACAGTGTACAAAATAATTATTCCATAGCATTTCCCTCCTTTTGTCTAATTAAAGAAGGAAGGTTTTAAGCCATGCTAATAAAGGTTAATTTAAAATGTAAGTTAGTAACAAGCCTAACCTATTGGCCAAGCAACTATAAGTAGTATTAAAAATCTCAGTGTTGGTTATTTGGGAAATGGCTGCTGGGACAGGAAAAATCAGCCTACGGAAGAATGGAAAAGAAAGGTGAATTCTACCAAAGAGGGAAGCAGGATAGGAGTCTCAGTTCCAGGGCATGTGACAAATGCCATTAGTGAAACCTAGAAACACTTGCAATTGTTTAACTTCTTCAAAGACATGGTGGGTGGGGCACAAATCTCATTGAGAAAATGCTACCAAACCCTGAGAACTGAGTAACTAGAAGTAGAAGGAAAATATCCCAGGGCAGAGGGGTCATCATGTGAGGATCCTCAGTGGTAGAGCCGGGTCCTTCTAGGGAATGGAGGGAGGCTAGTGGCTTGCCATGTCCTTGGGAGACTCAGGAGAAAGATGTATGATAGGTGACAACTGTGAGGAAAGAGCAGGAATATATTTGGATCACTGGAGGCAAGCGTCCTTCCTGATGGTTGTCTAGCACACATAAGGCTCTAGGTTTAGAACCTTCACACACACACACAATCTCATGTTGGCATGAAGACATCAAGTCACTGTATGGCGGAGGAGGCCTTGTGCTGGGACCATGGCTCATTCACTCACTTCCAATAGTGTCTAATGGGCAGAGATTAAGCTGGAAGGCTCTAGACCTGAGGTGTAGTCTCTCCTCTATCATGTAGTCTCTCCTCTATCAGTTTGTCAAGTATCCTTGGGTAAGTCACTAGTTAACTGTTCATCACAAAGTGGAAGTAGGAAGCCAGGCATGGTGTGCACACCTGTTACAATCCAAGCACTTTGCAGGTAGGGAGGAAGCCTCCTTCAGAAGTTCAAGGTTATCCTTGACTACATAGTGAGTTGGAAGCTAGCCCGAGCTACATGAGACCCTGTCTCAAAAAAGAAATAGGGTGGAGAGGAGAGGAGAAGACAGAAAGAAAGGGGTGTCAATTCCTATCTTATTGACTGTACTTAAGTACTTATGGATCAACTAAAATAATATGGAAAGGGTGTTACCATTATGCAATGAGAGTAAGATATTGTTATCTTAATGATACTGAATGGTGAGGCTTTGGGTAAACAAGGTCCATTGGAAACATTCAGATCCTAAGTTCATGGACATCAGCATTTTTCTGTGCACCTTCCCTGGGCCAGGTACTGATTGGAACATACAGAACCAGACCTTGTCCCTGCCTTTGTGGAGACTCAACAAAGAGATGAGACTACTGGTCAAAGAATGGCCAGGCTGTGGTGCAGGAAAGCATGAAGGCCAGGCCAAGGTCAGCTTCCCTCCTGGCTACCACTGCCTGTCTCCACTGAGCTTGGAATCTACTCAAACTCAGAAGCCCTTGGTCTGTGCCCATTGTGGCTCTGACTTAGCCAAGCAGCTCAATGAATAGTGGATTGACCAATAGATGTGCAGTAGTCAGGGGATGATAAATAAAAAAAGGAGGCCGGCCATGTTGCTGCTGGATATGAGATGAGTCTGGTTTTGTTGATTGGTTTCTTTGTGTAGCAGCCCTGGAACTCTATCTGTAGATCAGGCTGGCCTTGAACTCACAGAGATTTGCCTGTCTCTGCCTCCCATATGCTGGGATCAAAAGTGAGCACCATTACTGTCCCGCAGGTTGCTATTAGGAACTGTGTACATGCCTTTGTGTTGTGTACAGCCTGGATGGGGATCTTACCCCCTCCATCACATACAAGAGGAGAATAAGTGGGGGTTCACAAGCCCTCCGGCAGGTACAGAGAGAAAGAAAACATTTGCCAAGCACCCTGTCCTGTGCTAGGCCCCAGCTGATGGGATCCTTTCCATGCTCACAACCACTGCCAGACTGATACCACTCTGCTGTGTAATTGAGGTGCAGAGAGGTAAAGAGAAACTACCAGAACTGCACCATAAATGGACACAGGTGGAACCTCCCTAATTAAAAATCGGAAATGCTTCTGGTTCCTAGCATTTCAGACAAGGGATGCTCAGCCTGTAAGAAAGCTAGAATTCACACTCTGGCCTCTCTAGCCTGCAACCCAATGCCTTCCCTGCTCTCCTAGCCCAGCTACCTGGAAGAGGACCCACCTTGAACACAGAAATATTGGGTGAAAGGGTTCATTATCTACCACCCCCTTGAAGTATCCCCCACAACCTGTGAGGTTGACTTTTTTTATTTGTATGTGGGGGTTGTTTTGGGTTTTTTTTTTTTTTTTTTTTTTTTGAGACAAGAGTTTCTCTGTAACTTTGGAGACTGTCTTGGACTTGCTCAGTAGACCAGGCTGGCCTTGAACTCACAGAGATCTGCCTGTCTCTGCCTCCTAAGTGCTGGGATTAAAGGCATGCACCACCTCTGCCCAGTTGGTTATTCCTATTTTGTAGTTGAAAAGACTAAATAAATCTTGGGGAGATGATGGATGTCAGAGATTGGGTAGGATTTAAGTCAGTTTCATACCCATGGCTGGGGCCATTGAGGTTCAACTCAGGACAGCCTAACCTCACTTGCAGAGAGAAGGAGGGCAGAGGTTTGGGCAAGGGGAAGGCAGCCTGGCATGGCTCACTGGCTCTGAGCTCACCCATCTCCTCTACGCAGGAGTTTGCCAACTGGAGCTGCAATATGGCAGGGCTGCACCCTCCTGAGTTTCCTTCCTCCCTTCTAAGCCCCCCACTGTCCTTCTAGTAGACATTCTTACTTGTCACTTGTTCATTGAGGGCTGGAGAGGGCAAAGTATCAATTCCCAGGCTATAGAAGGTGGACTTTGTTCTCAGAGCAATGAGGAGCCGTGGAGGGCTTTAGCAGA